GACTGGGCAGCGTCGATCCGTGACTAGGCAGCGTCAACGCTGCCGCTGCTGTGAGGCGTCGCGAACGGCGAACTCGCCGAGAGTAGAGGAGAAGGGGCGGTTGGTAGAAAAGAGGGAGGAGAGGAGACGGAGACGGCGGGTTCACAGAGAAGAGGGAGGAATGGGTGAAAGACGGTGGAGGCGGCGAGGGATGGCGGTTGCGGTGACGCCGTGTGTGGAGAGACGATGGTGGCGGCGTGAGGAGGAGAAGAACAGGGAGATGACGGTGAAGAAAATGAAATTGGGAAATTAGGTTTGATTAGGTTTAATAAAGTAAAATAAAATAAAATATTAATATAATTAATATTTAATAAAATAAAATAAAACCTGTTTTTTGAAATGTTAAAGTAGTGACCTGATTTGTGAAATTGACATCTTAAAAACCAGCTTGGGTGTAATTTCCTCTTTTAAAAATACCCAGTAAGATACGTGCATTTTTCATACGCAATTATATAAAAATAACATAGACAATTTATACCATATTTCTCTTTATGGAGTATATCGGTGATCAAGCGAGATACCCATCATTTCTCATTTTGAATTCCCAAAAGATTTCACATTTCATTGTAAAGAACCCAAAAGAGTTCACATTCCGTTAGGTCGAACCCGAAGGTCCACGGCAATTCATGCATAAATTATTGAACATAAAAATATACGTAAACATACTACTTGCACAAAACGTATCTTACCCTGATTGATCAAACAAACTTTTGATAAAAAATATACTAGAAATTTATAGCTGCTTCATATGAAAGTTGTCGTGTAAAATTTCTTTGGTGATGAATTGTGGGATAATTGTACACTATTTATAGTTGAAAAATAGGAGTTGATTCACAATACAATTGTGATGAGATAAAAACGTGTATCAAACTTGGATATGAATTGAATCTTGATAAAACAAATCATATTATGACACATGTACTTGAATTTGTATAAAATACATATTTAATACATATCACAATCAAAGTGATAGAGTTGTATTGTATTTAAGAGAAATGATGTTTGTCCAGGCGTCACGTACCGCAGCTTTACCTAAATCACGTGACCATATCGCAGTCGCGGTTTGCCCAAATTCGATCGCACATTGTAAATAATTCATTTAATTGTAAAATAGTTGGAATTTAGAAAAGTTTAGTATGATTCCTCAACTTTCAAAACGTCTACTCCCGTCAGTCGGGTTTTTGTTGCGAAGGGCGTGTTCGGTAGAGACTAAAATCGGATTAAAATTGAAAAATTAGACGTTATTGATGACTTTTATTAGACGAGTGAGACCCAATAATGACCATATTTTCAATTTTAATTGAATTTTTATCCGAAACAAACATGCTCTAAGTCTATTATGGGGGGTATTAGTCTTTCAAACATCTTTCAAGCTTTCTAGTGTTCGCCCCACACACTAACCATTGTAATTTTCTGCTTTCATCTATTGTAATGTTTAGCTTTCAAGCAATCAATGATCAAGTTTATTTCAATGCATTTCAATTTCATGTTGTAAGCTTTCTTTAAATTGTGATCAAATTTTCTTTCGTCCCTAAATGACCGAGAGAAGGCGGAAGGCAGTCTAGCGGAGCAGACTACTGCCGCACGGTGTCCTTTTCTGTGCTAAGAAGAAAAGTAACCCGTGAAAGCTCAAGACCCTCGATAAGAAAGCTATGGATCCAATGGAATCGAACACCACGGAGGTGGTAGATCCTCAAAAGAGGAACACGAAACAGTGCGTGGATGCGCTTGAGATGACAACTGCTAGGTTGTGCTATGCCGCAGAGAGTATTGACGAAAGAGTCGAGGCGGCTGAGGCGGAGATTCGTGAATTAAACACCCAACTAGGTGAAAGCCGAATGGCTTGCACAGCAATGACTGAAGCTGTTGCTATCATACCTGATCTACAAGATGAGATGGGAGCGTTGAGAGCTCAGTTACTAGTGTTTCAACGCGCGGTTGGCAATGGGCAAGCCACCGCACAAGAGTCTATGCATAGGCTCAGAATTCCAGAATCGTGTACATACGGAGGGGCACGCGATGCTAAAGAAGTTGAGAACTTCTTGTTCGATATGGAACAATACTTTCTTACTGCTTCGATTCAAGACGAAGCGAGGCAGGTTACAACAGCTACCAAGTATCTAGGTGGAGATGCAAAACTATGGTGGCAGATGAAGTATGCCGATATTCAGGCCAACATGGTTCGAATAGATTCTTGGGACCTTCTCAAGGAAGCAATCAGATCTCAATTCTTCCCAGAGAATGTGGAATATGAGGCACGCCGAGCCTTACGAGAGCTGAAACAAGCTCCATCATGGAGTATGTGAAAGCTTTTTCAGGACATATGCTGAATATTCGAGATATGTCGGAAAATGATAAGTTGTTCACCTTCATGGAAGGGTTGGAACCGTGGACACGCACGGAACTTCAAAGACAGAAGGCCACCGATTTAAGTGCAAATATGGGAGCTGTCGAATGTTTGAGTGATTATCAACCAGAATTGAGAGAGCATCGACCTTCGGAAAATAGTCAATCTATTGGAGGTGGAAATAGACCTCATAGACCCAGCTCGAACTCAAATGGGGAAGAGCATTACTCTCAGAATCGGGGAGGAGCCTATCAAGGCAACCGTCAGGGTAACAACTGGAACCAAGGGAAAGTAAATGAGGGCAGATCTGATGCCAGTCCTAAATTGAAGTGCTTTTTATGTGAAGGACCCCATTGAGTGGTGGAGTGTTCTCAGAAACGGATGGTGAATACATATTGCCAACTAGCAAGTGGCGGAACCAAATCAAAGCAAGGTACCCCACAAGCTAGCTGTCATGTCGAGACCGAATCCGAAGAAGATGAGGATGTAGTTGGTGCATTCTCACATCAGTGCAATACACTATCGCTCCGAGTTGCTAAAAGGAAAGATGGTCCCTCGAAAGAGCCGAAGATGGCAGAATCGAAGACTCACAATTGTAGGGCGAAAGGCCTAATGTACATTGATGTGAAGATCAATGGGAAGCCAATCAGGGCTATAATAGATACAGGTGCTACCCACAACTACCTCGCAAGTGCCGAAGTAGAGCGACTCAGACTTGCTCTAGAGAGAGGTAAGGTGAAAGTTAAAGCAATCAACTCCGCTACTCGACCAATAGCGGGAGTAGCGAAATCCGTGTCGATCAAAATAGGTCCCTTCGAAGGAAGGACGAACTTGTCGGCAGTTCAGATGGATGATTCAAGCTCATTCTAGGATTGGAATTTCTTCGGGATACAAGAACAACAGTGTTGCCGCATTCCGACTCGTTGATAATGATGGTAATAAACCATGCGTTATTTCCACACAAGT